CGCCACTGCTGGGTTAGTGGGATTTGCGATGTCCTCTTTTTAAGCTTTTCGGGATGGTGGCGCAGTGGCAGAGCATCTGCTTGGCATACAGAAGGTCCCAGGACCAATCCCCATTATCTGCAGCCAAAGTCAGGTAGTAGGTGATGTGAAAGGCCTCCACCTGAGATCCTGAAGAACTGCTGCCGGGCTGCATAGACAACAGGGACCTTGATGGACCAAGGGTCCGATTGTCTTCGACAGCTCCGTGTGAGCGTTGTCGCTCTGGGCAGAAGGTCCTTAAAGGTAAAGGTTCCCTTGCTCGAAAGCCAGTCAAATCCGACTCTAGGGTTGCGGTGCTCATCCCCGTTTCCAAGCCGAAGAGCCAGCGCTGTCCGAAGACGTTTCCGTGGTCATGTGGCCGGCATGACTGAATACTAAGGCGCACAGAACGCTGTTCCCTTCCCACCGAAGTGGTACCTATTTATCTACTTACAATTTCTTGCTTTCGAACGGCTAGGTTGGCAGGAGCTGGAACTAGAGACGGGAGCTCACTCTGTCAAGCGGCACACTCGGGTCTCGAACTGCTGAACTACTGACCTTCCACAGCCTGCAGTTCAGCGTCTTAACCACTTGAGCCACCGCAGCTCCATAAAAGGTAAAGGTTCCCTTGCTCGAAAGCCAGTCGAATCCGACTCTAGGGTTGCGGTGCTCATCTCTGTTTCCAAGCCGAAGAGCCAGCGCTGTCCGAAGACGTTTCCGTGGTCATGTGGCCGGCATGACTAAATGCCGAGGCGCACGGAACGCTGTTACCTTCCCACTGAAGTGGTACCTATTTATCTACTTGCAATTTCTTGCTTTCGAACTGCTAGGTTGGCAGAAGGTCCTTACTCCAAAAGAAAAAGGGCCCAGATAACCGTCCTTGTGGGCAGTGCTCCCTCTAAGCTGTGGAGCCTTCTGAACAAAAATTCTACTTTGTGAGCTACCGGCATGAAAGTTGTGAGTGAGCAACTGCATAAATTAGTCTGCTCTGGAGCCCTCCTTCCTGAGCGAAGACAAAAATGTGTGAGTTGGAGGCTAAAAATCTGTGAGCTAGCTCACACTAACTCAGCTTAGAGGGAACACTGCTCATGGGTAGAACCTGTATCTCGGCTTTTACCTCGCTAGAAACTCTCTCATGATTGAATTGTCATCCGTTAAATTCCCTCTACTCAGAAAGCTAGCATGACAGGGAGAAAGGAGTCTAAGCCAACCTTCCCTCTTCTGTACTAATTTTCTACATGCAAGGTTCCCCCCCCCCCTTTCTGTACAAAAGGAAGCCTTAAGTCACCAGGAGAAGGCACAGTTTCAGACATGGATGGTTTACCTCAGTGAGAACGAGGCTTCAGTAAATGGAAGGCCTTTGGTTCCGTCTGCTCTGAAGGGAAATTATTTCAGGTGTTGCGCCATCTGCTCTGGAACTGGCGGTTGATGGGTCAGAAAGAAGGATGGGCTTGGCTCACAGGCCGCCATTTTTGTATGTGTGTCTGTAGTTCGGCAGTTCGAGACCCGAGTGCCGCATGATGGAGTGAGCTCCCGTCTCTGGCCCCAGCTCCTGCCAACCTAGCAGTTCGAAAGCAAGCAATTGCAAGTAGATAAATAGGCACTGCTTCGGTGGAAAGGTAACAGTGTTCTGTGCGCCTCGGTGCTTAGTCATGCCGGCCACATGACCACGGAAACGTCTTAGGACATCGCTGGCTCTTCGGCTTGGAAACGGAGATGAGCACCGCATCCCTAGAGTCGGATTCGACTGGCTTTCAGGCAAGGGAAACCTTAACCATTTACTGTGAGGGGGAGAACAGAGTGGTATGTATCTGAGTAGATAACTGAGTAGATGCCCATTTGCTTGTTGCTTCAGTCGCATTGTCATTGGCCTCGACATGGTGTGTCTGGGCCGTCGTCGGAGCTGATCGGTCCATGTGGCACCCTCCATTTTGAAAATCAGTGGCCTGACTTGAGCGCACAGCACAACGCTCTACGCATCATGCGCTCGGCTTGTTGTTGTTCTGCGTCTGCGGCTTTGCTTCGGTCTCCTTGTGTGATCGGGAAATCTTGTGATGATACTAAATCTTAAGATTTGGCACTCGTGGGGCGGGCTGCAATCCATCTGCCTGCAAGACAGGCTGTCTGGAGTTGCTGAAGAAATCTCTTAATAGCCCTGGAGACATCTAATATTTACGTACATGGAGATGAGGCACTGCCGGCTGCCGGCGAAGCAGTCTGGCATCTGACTGGAGAAACCCTCGAGACGCTGACTTCACCACCACCGGTTGGTGATCTCAGTCATTTGTTCAGGGGGATAAGGAGGGCTATTTTTGGGCAGGAACGCACAGGAACGGAGTTCCGGCTGGCTCCCAAGTTGGCCACACCCAGCAGGAACTAATTAGCATAACAGGACACGCCCAGCAGCAGAAACTCATTCGGATTGGCTACATTAGGGGTGTGTGGCCTAACATGCAAAAAGCCCTGGGTTTTGACAACAAACAAGGTAATCAGAATAACAAGCAAAAGGTGGGTGTGGCTGGATGACCACACTTCTGGTAACACGGGGGTGCGGCCTAATGTGCTAATGAGCTGTGCTGTCAGGGGGTGTGGCCTAATAGGCTAATGAGTTTCTGCTGTTGGGTGTGGCCTATTATGCTAATGAGTTCCTGCTGGGCTTTTTCTACAAAAAGAGCCCTGGGAATAAGGCAAATGGTGGTTAAATCATCTTTACCTGTGTCTGTGCTGTGAAGTCACAACTGACTTACGGCGACCCCAGCCAAGGGGCTTTCAAGGCAAGTGAGAAGCAGAGGTGGTTGGTCATTGCCTTCCTCTGCAGAGTCTCCCCTCACTGGTCTCCCATCCAAGTTTCTGACCCTGCTTAGCTTCCGAGATCTGACCAGATTGGGCTATACCGTGATGCTTCCCCCCGAAGTTATTGTTAGGTAAAGGTTCCCTTGCTCGAAAGCCAGTCGAGTCCGACTCTAGGGTTGCGGTGCTCATCTCCGTTTCCAAGCCGAAGAGCCAGCGCTGTCCGAAGACGTTTCCGTGGTCATGTGGCCGGCATGACTAAACACCGAGGTGCACGGAACGCTGTTCCCTTCCCACCGAAGTGGTACCTATTTATCTACTTGCAATTTCTTGCTTTCGAACTGCTAGGTTGGCAGGAGCTGGAACTAGAGACGGGAGCTCACTCCGTCACGCGGCACACTCGGGTCTCGAACTGCTGAACTAACGACCTTCCACAGCCTGCAGTTCAGCGTCGTAACCCCTTGAGCCAC